GACACCCAGCACTTGCCTTACCCATGCCGCAACAAAATTACTAAAAATCTAAAGACGGGTACGCAAAAACACCCCTGATGAAGTTTCAGCTTAATGGTGAATGCTCCATTTTCTTAGAAATCTATGCTAAGACTTAGATTTCAGATCAAAAGTTGCTGAGTCGTGTTTTAAATTGGTGTCTGAATTCAGCATGCGGGACACATTCTCAAGTTCAATTGAATGCTAAACTCACGCTGTCACCCACTGAACTGCTGAATTATGGAAACCGCAAGTGTCTGTGTATCATGTCAACGCTTGCGTCCATTTCTAATGGCAATTTTCCCAAAATTGAGAAGGGGCCTGCTTGAAATCATTGTGTCTTTATGATGACCATTCGTATAACTGCAAATGATGGACTGCACAGTACTTTTAATCCATTTATCCTTGTACAGGGTTCCCACAGTCATGGGAAATCCTGTGAAAAAATTGTCCCGGAAAGTCTTGAAAAACTCATGGAAAATTGATCTAAGGAAAAGTGATGGAAGTCAAAATCATACAAGGGTTATTTTTGATGGGCCACTTTTGATGTGGTAATAAAATTTCATACAATAAATTTACAGGCCATCCTTGCCAGTAGTGGCTATGGCAGTCTTCCCAGTCATAATATCAAACAAATTTTCTGTGCAGAGTGGCATTAAATATCATGGAAATTGTCATAAGTTTAGTTCTGGAAAGTGCAGGAAAGGTCACTGAATTTGTTTTTCAGATTTCGTTGAAACCTTGCTGGTAACAATCAGGGCCCAATTTCACGGCACTACTTAGCACACGATTTCACGCTTACAGAGACTCTGCATATTTCAAGAAGACCGTATAAAGCACTGAGTAAGCAATAAAAATCTCTCTGCGCGTGCGGCTTTTGGCAAAACCACGCCAAACACCACTATGAAATAGTGCTTAATCTTCGCAAATGTTTCTGCTAAAGTTAGCATGATTTTTCTTCTGACTGTGTTAAGAAGCCCCATGAAATTGAACTCTGACCCCACCCAGCCTGTTTCCCCCTGCACTCCCAGCACTGTATGGTTTTATGGATTTAACAGCAACCCACAGTAAGAGTTTGTGTAGTGATGGGTTAAAACTTGGATGTTTTGCTCATTTGGGGGGGGAATCTTTGTTACAGTATGACTGGAGAGGTGACCTTTTCTTTTCACATTGTGTCATTTCCCCTGTGTTTAGATTTGGGAAGGGCTCAGGTGAATGTACTGCTATGGCTGCCTACGTAGAGGCTGACTAACGATGTAGTGTGAATTAACTGACCAGTGATGAAATCTCCAAAGTGAAGATTCAGGTTACATCATCAGCTAGCACAGGTAGGAGTCCTGTGTTTCAGATGCTGGATTTTGGCAAGGCTGGATGGGGGAGGGGGTGGCAATCAGGTCATGACCCCCCCACACACCAAACAAAAGCTAAATTGTTTTCGTTTCAAACACTGAAGGGGTTTGTTTTCCATTTCATTTCCCTCTTCTTGGCAAGTGGAAACTCCAAGATGTAGCTGCATGTAATCCCTCAAAAAAATCAAAACTTTAAAAGTTATTTGCCCCCCCTAAACAAGGCCCCTCCCTTAAGAATTGGGTTCTGATCCTCCTTTGGTTTTTTGGCTAGCCAAAAGACATTAGTTGCTTAGCTTAGTACACGGGGCACCCCTGACCCTAGTGATGGTTGCATGTGCTGTGTCAAACAAGCAAGACGGTGAGGACCAGCTTAAACCCTTGTGACCAGGGCAAGTTAGTTCAATGCACCCACTGTCACTGGAATTAATCTCATTTCCTGGCCTGAAGGTCCTTTGTTTGGCAGTTTGTTTGCTGTTTCACCTCAGTTTACCAACGATCTGTGGTCAACAATTCCTGAGAGATGTTCAAGGAGCAAATTTGGGTCTTGCAGATTTAATAAAAGAAACTCATTAAATAAAGAGTCTTCCTAATCCAAGACATCAGACCGACAACAGCAGGGATGTACATGTAGTCCAAGGAAAGTCTCCATTTCTAAAAAGCACCTTCAAGGAAATCATGTTTTCTCTGATTTTATCTGTTCAAATAAATATGGAAGCATTTAAATCAAACCCTGTGTCATTTGTCTTCAGAGCTCAATTGTAACAAGCTAAAAAGGGCTTTTTTTCTGTTCATGCCAAGATGTGAATTCTGAATGTAGATTGCATCATTCAGAGAAAATGAGGGGAGCCCTCGCCCTGTGTTTGTAGTGGATAATCCCTGGTGCATGCCAAACAATGGCTACATGCATAGTTTGTTTGTTTGTTGGTTTGACTTTTACAGTCATCCCCCAAGTTGAGCAATGAAAGAAATTCTGAGACTCTACATGCTCTTATTTATCGAAGTAAAACCTGGACTGTGTCACAGGTTAATTACCCAATCAGTATCTCCAATATTCTTGGCAGCTTTTAGTTGCACTTAACATTGTTGTGTTTCCTTGACACTTCTAGAGGCTGGTCTTCCCTGAGATTTAAGAATTTGTGTTCAGTTTTCCCCATTGATGTGGGGGG